CAAAACTAAAACTAAATTATGACCAGAGACGTCGTGACGCAGCTGATACCTGCCCACTGTCTAACCCATGTTTCTAGTATCCGGCTAGCTTGTATAGTGTATATCAAAAAACTTAAGTAAATGCATATATATATATATATATAAAATATATTTTATCGTATCCAAAAGTTATTTTCTATTCTATAAAAACGTTTTTTAATGGCACTTAAAATCTCACGTGATATTAAAATAGTAAAAAAATAAAAATTTATTAAAATCATAAAGATTGTTGAGAACGAAAAATAATATACAATTAGCAAATAAAAATTTAAATAATTTAAGTACTCGACCAAGTGTTAAGAAACAGATTTCTACGTTATTAACAATTGTAAATACTATCACTCAAAAGTTCCATTTTGGTGTGATCGCTTATTTTATTTATCCCTTAAGATGATCCAATATTATTAGATATTATTATTATTATGCTAATATGGTGTTTTTCATTTTATCAGTTGTACAATAATTCAATAAATCAGTCGAGAGATAAAAGTACATAAAGTTAACAAATTCAACTGTATAACAAACTAAAAAGATAATAAAATATATTATACTCGGTTAGATAATTCGAACAGAAAGTGTTTTGTGAAGTAGCATGTAAAGTGAATTCCGCCCCTTCGAAATGAAAAAAACAGAAGTAATTTCAACATAATAGGAAAAACATAATTATTGTGATGTCTGCATAAAAGATCGATCGAAGCAATTGATATTCGTGATAAAAACGCGATCACGGGCTAGAAGCGTTTTTTATTCTCGTTAATCTGTTCAAAATTTCTAATTGGAAGTCGAGCAAATAAATGTATTCAATTAATAAAAATATGTTCATCTACTATTTTAATATAATAGAAATACGCCATTTGTGCACCATGTTCACATATGTATATTTTTGTTCACACGCAATCAGTAAACATTATTTGTTGGTTATTATTTGGATTTATTACTAACTATATTTTGTACACAATACATATATGTTATATGTAATGATGGGTAGAACTGTTCGAATCTCGAACCGAACAAAACCGAACCCTTGATGTTCGGTTCGGTTCGAAATTTGAACTTGGAATGAAAAAAAATCGAACCTAACTATCAAGCATCTTTTACTGTTCGAAAATCGAACTTGAAAATATTTGTCGAACTAGACTTACTGGCCACGATAGTTCAAAAACCAAATATTTGTACAGTTCTTCAAAAGTTATTTTTGAAAAATAAAAATTGATAACGATTATTTAGAAATAATTAGACTATTGGCGATAGAAAGTGATAATCTGTAAAATGCACGTTATGCATTATTTATAATAATAATGTTATTTTTCCAGTTACACATCCACTCTCCGTCGACCAAAACATTAATAAGTTTTTTATCGCCAATAGAGGTAGTTTATCTACATTCATAAATTAGCTATTTTTGTTTTTACCATATTTATTATAGAGGTTAAAATCTATTTTGGGTAAATCCCTGGTATTATTCCGATACCGTGACTGTGCTGTTAATAAAAACATGTTTACAGCTTACGTCTTACATTATAAATCCTACTAATCATTCTATATTTGTGAATTATTATTACTCATTTTATATATTATTAAAATGTACTGATTGTATTGTCATATTACACTCGATACTCAATACTCAATGATTATTTTATAAGCTATAAGACAACATGAGAGAGCAGGGGCGGATCCATAGGGGGGCAAATGGGGCGATGCCCCGCCCCCCCGTTCACCATAGCAGACTTTAGTTTTAGACATAATTACTTCAAGGGTAAATAGGAAAATCTTAAACTATTTTTTTTACACCAAACTTATGCTGGTACTATGTTATCACTTATATTTATTATTTGGTAATACACTGATATCGCAGTTATATATTACTATCATGATGTTAAATATTCGTAATTAAGTTTTGTGTTTATCAGTGTTTCCGAAACGTGATAATTGATAATAACCAACGTAAAAATCGTTCGGTACCACCATAATCAACAAAATTGTAATTATAAACTCTATTGTTATGACTCATATTGATATATCTAAAAAAAATTATTATTATTATTATACAATTTTTTTTTTAAGATTTTTTTTATTTAAATAAATAACCTATATCAAAATTAATATTTTTAATTTTATCTATATAAATATCTATATCATGTGTGTCCGTTAAAAATCCCCCCCCGGCCTGGGTCCACCCCTGTGAGAGAGCACAATACTGGTTTTGAAAAATAATAATAAGAAGAAGAAATTATCTAAAATTAAAATGTATTGGAAATAATGCAATTACTTAGACTTAAAAGTTAAAATGTAGTATAGGTAATACGAAAATTTAAAAAGCAATAGTAATTAATAATTATGGTTGATTTAATTTGTAGATAGGTACAATGTACGTGATAAAAAGTATTGAGTTCAAGTTCAAGTTCGACTTAAATCATTATAGGTTCGGTTCGGTTCGGTAGTAAATATGAAGGTTCGGTTCAGTTCGAGTTCGAAAAAATAATTTAAAATTCGGTTCAAGTTCAGTTCGATTTGAAAAAGCAAGGTTCGACCCATCACTAGTTATATGTATATCTTATACAATATTTATGTTAGTATTTATATATTTAAATAACAATTAGTGAATAATATTAAACTAATCATTTATAAATTTATAATTATTTTTATTCGAATTATGTCCTATTCGATTTACAATATTGAATCGTTAATGTATTAGGTACGATTAAAGTTTGATTATTTACGTAAGATGGAATCTCCGTCTTATAGTAGAGGTACTCGGATTAAAGTTTAGTTGTATGGAACATGATCAAATATTTCAGTTGAAAAAGTAATATTGAAAATACTATTGCGGATATAATTAAATGATGATGCGGCAGCAGTGTCGTCATTGTTAGTTATGACGCACATTGGTAGTATAACTCAGAGATAGGCATAACAAGTTTCTATTTAATTTCATCATGAATCGTTTGAGAACAGATATAATTTGGTAATTATTCTTAACCAGAGGAGGATTTGCGCCCAGTCAACACAATCGCCACATGTGTCGGATTCACTTTTTCTCAGTAACAAACAATTGTTTGATTCGAAATTTCTCTGCGTATCTATTTTATGTTATTTTCGGATAATTATTGGGCTGTTAGATTAACTTATTTTATTTTTTATTTTACATTTACCTGCAGTACCTATGCACTAATTCGATTAAATTGGCATATTTTTAAATTTTACGAAACCTATTTAAAAAAAGCCCAGATTTTTTTATCAAGATTGGAAAAATGATGTTTAGTCCACACCGCTTGCAACCGTAAAGTGCATGTAAACATGAAATAACTAGCGCATCGTATTTCCGGCGTAAAATTGTTCGGTTGAGAGGTGCCGAAAATACGCGAATAGACTGTAGAACTTTTGACGAATCGTTATACATTGTTTACGCGTAGTATATTATTATGTGTACATTCTTTGTAGTATGTAATTTATTTCAGTTGTATAGTTTACATAATCTACAGCGTGTAAAATGTATAATAATAACGTTAACCGGTTGAATGAACGATACAATATAATGGGTAACCATAATTATAATAATAATGATAATTTTTTGTCGAATTTATTCATATAACTCGGAAGGAAACACGATTGCATTCAAACGAACCTACGTTCGTAATCGTTGCGACGACACTCGATTAAAATGATATCATCGGTTAACGTACCTACTGTAGCAATCCGAATATTTTTACTGCGATCAGACGGCGTTCAAGTGTTATTATTTGATAATAATTAAACAAGCAAAACGGGTATGCAAAAACTAGTTCGAGGTCATCTCCCTCCTCTCTCTCTCTCTCTCTGTGGTTTATTTTGCGAATAGTGAATCGGAAATGGAAACAATCTCGATAGTTTTTAAATCGTACACCGTAGAGTGTTTACAGAGTCTGCTCACTTTTGATCGACTTATTATTTTCTGCGAGGTCTAAGTACCACGTGCTTGTACATCACGTACATAAAAACGATTACACAAACGTTTTCGATGTTATTTTTTATCCGTCGCACGTAAAAAATGTCGTTTTGGAGTATCCGATCGACCGAATTTGTTTTACTCGTAAAATCCACGAACTACCGATTGCAGTTGCACGTCGCCGCGGAAAAGATTACGGTGACAGGCGGTTTGGCGATGGAAAAATAAAAAAAAAAAAATGAGGACGAATGCGATGTATTACTATCATCTGCCAGAAAAACGTGTTTGACCGACGCGAGAAGTGTAGGCAGAGAAAACGTGAATTATTTACTTTTTTTTTCTCCACGCTGTAGACGTTTGTTAGAGTAAAGAAAGGAAAATTTCAATCTCAATTACAATAAATGCAGCAGCGGCGGCATACGGGTCCAACAGAATACAATAATAAGCACTTTTATAGACCGAACACGTCACACGCAGTAGAAACGTTGCCGGTATACGAACGTTCGAAATGGCCGCGAGCCGCCTCGTTTGTCACATTTATCCGTTGAGCGGACGGCGGCGGCGAGTGGCGTACGGATTTGCATATTATATATTACACGAGACACGTTTGATCGCGTAGGCCCGGATTGGATTTCGATACGTTACAACGAATGGGATTTTTAAACATTTTTTTTTTCAACCTCCCGTCGACGAGTCGATAATAAATGTACCCGGAATCGTTGGGACGGCGAGGAGCGGAACCACCGGTAGGAAAATGAAGCGGACGCGTAGGCCTCGATATCCGGATGTCCTTCGGAACCGACGGGAATCCATACGATGTTTCGGGAATACGGTGCACCGTGAACGTGTTAGCCGGGCGAGGGGAACGCGCGCACGTGGATCGGGACGAGGAAGACGTGGATACGGCGGCGGCGCCACGGAATCGGGGTCACCGGTGTTACGGTGCAGAGGCGGACCGTGGATGTCTGCTGGTCTCCCTCCTGCGCGCGCGCATCGCAACCGGTGAACGGCTGAGACCCCTGGACTCGGGCCGCGGCGAGTTCGCGGTCAGTGCGATGCCAACTGTGTTTGCGTTCACGTTACGATGACGACCGTCGTCCACCGCAATCAACCCGATCATCAGCGCAGCCATCAGCATCGCCGTCACCATGTTGTTCGCGACCGTCACGGCCGTCGGCCTGGCAGCAGCGGCGGCGGCGGCCAGCCGGGATGGATCGCGTTCGCCGTGACCGTGGCCGCGGCCATCTCGTCCGCGTCCTGCTGGATCCCGTTGTCCAGCGGCAACGGGCTGTGGGACGATCTGGTCGGCAAGTGCGACGGCCCCAGGAACACGATGGACTGCGTGCGCAGCCGGCTCTACAACTACGTCAACGACACGTTCGAGTCGGACTTCAACATCACGGACGGCATCGGGTTCACCAGGAACGCCAACGACTACGACACCGTGTGCCCCGGGGGCAACGATACCGACGCCGCCGCCCCCGGGTCTTTCAGGGAGGCTAGAGCGTCCGAAACGGTAAGCGTTTGAACGTTCTCAGGTCGCGCGTGTGCCCGCCGCTTCGCGTTGCAATGATTCGAAAAGCAATTTTTGCTTTGAACGGACCGGTCCGCGGGCAAAAGTCGACCCTTCTGTTAGTTCACCGATTTCATGTGATGTTCGTACACGTTTGTCGAATCGATGCGAAAATCAATCGTAAATATCGAAAACGGTAGTCGTGTTTTCGCGTGCGACTACTCGTGCGTTTTTAACCCTCGTGACCTGCGCGGGTCAATCAAACCGCCTGTTGGAGGAGGAGGGGACGGGGATAAGGGACCGCATTTGTACGCTGTTTCCACTCATACCCGTCCGGAAACCGCGCTTTCGAAACTTTATCCGCTCGTTTTGTCCCGATGTGCACACAAAAATGTACACGTCGCTTCCGAACTGGGTTGATCATACGCGTTAACGCGCGATCGTTGGCCCAACATACGGAAATGTTGATCCGGAAACGTTAACCGTATTATCTTATTAATCCTAACCGGTTCGTGAACTGTGCTCAAATTAATAATATACATATATATATATATATATATATATATGTACAATATTAACCGTGCGTACGTATACGTATACGTCATTACACGTACTCGCCGATCTGTTTTACGCGTCGAGCGAACAATTTTCGCACATATAGTAAATAATGAATCAGAAAGCACGAATTTTCCTCGTATGGAATTCGCTCTCACAAGATTCAGTAAATGGTTCGATGTAAAGTTTCCGTATTTGTATAGTATGGGTGTGTGTGTGTGTGTGTGTGTGTTTGTGTGTGTGTGTGAAAATAGCCCATCAATCGGGGTACTTGGTTTTCAGGAAAATGAAGTGGACGACGGCTGGACCGACGTTACGGACGAGCTGTATAAGAAGGGCACCAAATACTTGGTGACGCACGACTTCGAAGCGTCCGTGCCGAGCTTTTTAGGCGGAGGACCTGGTGCCAAGGTCCGTCTGTCGCCCAAGAGAATCCTGCCAGACGGTGGCATCATCCTGCGGATGGACGTGTTGCCGGCCGAGAGGGAAGCCAGATCGCCTAGGTTCATGCACAAAATGATAAGTGAGCAACGACGTATTATTATTTAAACAATTTTTAAAAAAGAAAATAATAACGATTAAACCCTCACATCTGTGGTACCTACTACTTGCGGCGTCGAATTCGAGCAATTATTATACATGACGTCGCTATGTTTAGATATTAGTAATAACTGTAATGATAATAGTTATATAGGAGTATAATTACAACGCACACACTCTTAGAATATTACAAATTACTCAGCGGGGGCAATTCGATTCTACGAGGAGAGCAACCTAGATTTTCTAAGTGCTATTTATAAATCGTATCAGTAAACATTCGACTTGTGACCATCGCGATATCATTGCACTGAACTTATTGTTTCCCGCGTGCTGTTGTACGACAACATTCGTGTTTTATGAAAAACACAACAGTATACACCATGTTTGTTTTGACTTTACGGACGTTCGATTCGCTTTAAACCTAATTAATTCGTCCGAGTTAAAAAGAGAAAGCATTTCAATTTTAAACCGTCTAAGAGGGCCTTGAACTTGATTTGGCCGAAACCCAAGTAAGGCGAATCTGATGTACCGGCGGGTTATAATGTATGTCAAAACGTCTTATCGTAAAAACACCGCCACGTGATTTGTAATAAATCGCCGTTGTCCGCGTCATTAAGATCACGATTGTAAAGTTATGCACTTTGACATATCACTGATAATTTTATGTTTGTTTAGATTTTTTATTAACCACCCATATCCTCTTCTAGCTTCGAAAATAATTTCCGACCGAACTGTACGTATAGATACTCATTGAAAAAAATATAAAAACCATAGAAATATAAAAACAACTGTTCAAAAGACATTTAAAATATTTTCGACAAAATTCATACAAAATAATTAAAATAATATAATATGGTTCGATTTTAAATTATCGTACGCACACCATTCGTATAAAATAATATTATAATCCGTAGTGTTATATTATGTTGGAAAATATTTTTGATACACAAATACCTAAGTTAATATTATTTTTTTGAAGGTCAACGAGTGCCTTTCTTTTTTTATAACTCTTTGGGTTTCATCGAAAACGACTGTGAGTAGATTCCAAAAACAAGATCTTAAAAATAACATTATTATTATTAGTATTAAATTTCTTTATACTACCACTCAAGGTCTTCCGAGATTTCTTATAGTTATTTTCATTATCATATAGCAAGGGTGGCCAACATGTCTATGTACACGAGCCACATGTATTAATAAGATTAGATATATTAAGAGTCAAATTATCTAATCGGTACTTCTATACTAAAAAAATAATTAAGAAAGCTAACAGTTGATAAACATATATATATATATATATAAATAATTAAGTCAAAATATCGTTAAAATTTAACTAATGATCATCTCACAGAATTACTAAGAACTACTCTTACATCAATTCAACCAGATCTTAAGAAGCTTACTAAAAAAGTGGACATGAAAAAAATACTAAGCAAACAAATTTAACTTGATGTTTAATTTTTTAATTTATTATTCATATAAATAATTTTTTTTTTTTTTTGCTTATTAATCTGTACACTATAGCCTCGTATCTAGCAATAAAATTTTTTTTTTGTAAATGTATACAAAAAAATTAAAATATTTTGGTTTTTGTAAATAAGACCGCGAGCCGCATACGACTATGATGAGGGCCGCATGCGGCTCGCGAGCCGCGATTTGGCCACCCCTGTCATATAGTATTTAATTTTTAATATAGACTATTTTCACTGGAGTACGTTGTTTATATGGCGACGCTGAATTGATTACAAATCTAAAGCAAAGATTTATGAATCTTAAAGAATTCATTTTATAATGACTTAAATTTTCAAAAAATTGTAAGCACACCAAAATGTTTCGAAAAACGAGTTTTTCATAACTTTCACATTATTTCTAGACTTGAGTTGAACTCGAATTAATATTTTCCACATAATGTAATAGAACTTAACGCTTCTTAACTTATTAATTATTATTCATTTGACACGACTTATGATTCTCGGTTTAATCGTAATTACATTAAATATATTTGTTTTCAGTAAGTAGATCTAGGTATCTTGTTTTACATTTAAAATCAATATTTTTGACAGAAGTAACCTCAAGAAAATAATAATGAAAATCTGTATTATTGGGTTCAAATCCGTGGTTGTTTTTTAAAACGCGTTGGAAATCCGTTATAACCTATTGAGATACGTAAGATTAGGATTTCGTATATTTGTAAATATCATATATTTTTTAATAACGTATACTATATTCGTTCTCAATCAAAAACCATTTTTTCAATAGAAATCAAATAGTTTACGAGAAAGTAGAAATAATTAAATTACATTACCTAGTTTTTTCAATCATCAATAATTAAAAATATAATTATTTCATTAATTCATGCGTGAGACTCAAAAACCTATTAACGCGCTTATTATTGCAATTCATAATGAACCAATTAATTAAAATAATTCGGATTAAAATTTACTATGTAGTAAATTTTCAATTTCAAACGAAATAATACGTACCTAATGAAATACATTTATTACATATCACTGAGGCGTGCGGCAAAACGAATCCAAAACTGCGTGCACAAATAATTGTTGATAACATGTTCTTAAGAATCTAAAAATGTATAAAAAACACATAAAAACGCAATAAAGTTTCCGACATAAAAATCGAACAACTGGAGGCCGATTTAAACGATGTAATAATACGATGTAGATGTAATGGGACATGAATTAAACGACGTCTCGGAAACAATAAGACTTGTCCGTACGAAGCGCACATAATATATATATATAAAAAATTAGTAGCGATAATTGATTTATCGTAAGATCCGAAAAGGAATATCTTTTCATTGATGATTTACATCAAACGATTTTAGCTGTCGGCGACTTGTCGTTTAAAAGTCATGCGCGTCTTTGCGTCTTCCGGCGGTGTGCGACTAAACGGTTTCAGACGCGCGTATACTCTTCACGCTTGTCTCTGACAACAATCGCGTTTGCTTCCATAAACGCGTGTAAACGCGTAACACTTGACGCGCAAACATAATAGAACACCGCGTGCGAGATCGCTCGAAACTATGATTACACCGTAAACGCTTCAGATCGGTTTAAATCGTCCCACGATTATTCGTATCCAATGTACACCTACCCCAATGATTCTAAACTATAAACAGGCCGAAGGAAAATTAATTTCTTTAGAAATGGACACGACATCAACAGTAAAACCATACAAGTCCGGTGCGTTTTAACTTGCTATTTTGTTCTATATCATTCACATTATCACCTGTCACCGCACAGCTTCGGTAATTTATATATTTCGCATTTTTGACGGTCACAATTTTATTCGGCTATATTTTTAATCAAATCAGATTTTTATAAAATTTGGCCGATGGAAAAAAAAAGAAGCTTATCACGTAGTTTTCCCTCGAATTAGAACTATATCGAAAGTTCCGACGATAGTACCAACAGCCTCGTGCACAACGACCAGTGTAAGAAATCACGTTTATATTAATTCACGAATTATAACGTCGTTATTTTAGCTTGAAACCGACAGTGCGTATCGCACACTCGACCGTAAGTAGGTACCTGTGTATAAACATATTATAATGTGTCCATACGTGCAATGTTCTTCTTTTTTGCGGCTACAGCCGTTTCGAAATGTATTTCATTAGCCTAGATTTTCATTACCTAGTAATTGGTATAGACGGTATAATATAATAATATATACACGTGTTATATATACGTACACAATATATATGGTAAAGTGAAAAAAAAAACGAAACCAAAAAAATACGATAGAAATACATGCACACGGTTTCGTCGTGCTGGCGTACGGTCGGGTTGATGAGGAAGGAGGAATAGTAATAATAATAAAAACATCGCGGATGATTCACGATGTCCGTGACAGGACGTCGACGAAAGCGTCAACTATTATGATATTGTTGTCTCGACGGACTCTATAAATAGATTGTTGGGGAGAGAGGACACTATACGTGGGGTGATTGTCACTTTTCTAGAGGTGATGAAAAAATAATTATAAAAAAATTGCGTAAAAAAAAAAATAACTCGAAATAGTTACCTACCTTCTCGGGATGCGTGCAGAAATTATTAATTATCATTGGGGTCGCGGTTAACTACAAATTTAGATATTTCAACAACGTTGTCCGTAAATGGTGAGATGCGATGCGGTTTACATCTGTATAAGATGATCATTAAATATTCATCATAAAAATATTTGAAGAGGAAAAATTATTTTTTTTTCTCTCCTGATATTCCTTGATAATGGACGTATACACGAAAGAAACATTTTACATTTTACACGTCCTTTTAACGGGAGTTTTTCTTACGTTTTCTTAGTGACAATACCAAAGGAGAAAATTTTAAACTGTTAAATTATTTTTAAAATAAGTGCTTGACATATAGATAAAAAAAACCTTTTCCGTGCCTATAATAATATGTACTAATCGAATATGGTTTTTTTCCAGAGCAACTGTTCAAGAAGAAACTCATGTCAAGCGGGATGGCCCTGATGTTGATCATAAAATTGATCAAAATAAAATTGCTGTTCCTGTTGCCGCTGTTGATCGGCGCTGGCGCTGCCAAGAAGATACTGCTCAAAGTTCTGCTGTTCTTGTTCCCGCCGCTGGCACATCTGTTCAAGTTATGCTCGTACTATCACCATCACGCGTCTAAGTTCCATCATTTCCACCATCACAAGGTACGTCACGCGTCACAGGGTACCACCGCGACGTGTTATTACACATCTTTTGCGGCGTTCGCGTCCTCGAAACGGTTTACAAAGCTTACGTTTTCAGTATCGTGCCGGAAGAAAAAACAAAAAACGTGTACTTAGAATGGCGCGACTTGGTACCCCTTGATCGATCGGACCGGGAAACAAAAGGTTACCGCCGAAATGATATGCGCACGAGACGACGTTCGGAATTTGACGTTCCGCACGCATTGGCTCCGACAACAATGCGCAGTCATCGTAATGATAATGTACACCGATTAACGGGAGCTTAAGCATCCGCGCGCGATTGCGTTACGAGACGAGAAAATCACAATAATATTATAATTAGTGAAATCAAAACACTGCAGTGCATAGTACGCGATCCGGTGGGGGGTCGTGTTGTCAATTTTTTGTTAATCCTCGTCACAACAATATTATAATTGCGTCCGTCCAAGGGGGACTGATTAATCACGCGCGCCTCGTCGTTAACGCTCGCACGTCATCTGTTTACGTAGACTAACCGCCGTCTTCTACGATCGGTACGCGTTTTACAATGTAAACGATATGAAAGTAACAACATTTGCTTAGGTAAACGAAACGCGAATCACATTAATCGGACGTCTTGTAACTATACAATAATGCAATAATGCTTCTTAAATTGAACGCGTTCATTGCACCGTGAAAACGCGACGTCGTTGTGATTTGAAGCGAGACGATTTATTAATAGTGTTAAAAAATATAACAACAACAATAGTTGTTTTCTTTCGTAAACACGTTTTTTCTCGGATTATATAAGTTTTAGCAAATGTTTGCCCTTTGAAAATGCGAAAAATTTTAAATTTCTTCGAGCGGTTACAGACGACAATGTATTGTTTAACGTTATATCTTTAGGTTTAATAAATAATTTTTATTTTCAGATTACTCCTATTTTGCGTCCAACGAATCTTGAACGTTCTGGCTAATAGTTTTCTATATTCGACACATTTATATGCACAAAATCGTCGAGTGTAATTAAAATAATTGTACTCTATATGTTGAATTTCTTCGGTTCGAGAAATATTTGTAATTTTTCCTTTAAGTAGAATACATACATATTTAAATAAAATATGTTCGTAAAAGTTATTCTGATTGAACCTTTCTAATGCAGAACGAGTGAATTCCATGAAACTGTATTTTTTTTTCGTGTCCTGTCTAATCGTCGTTATATTTTTCCATCACAAAATGTTACCAGTTCAACGGTATATTGTCATTTCGTTAATTCCTTCTACACTTCGTTTATCTTTAAAATTATGACGTTCAAACATAACATCTTTCTTGTTCTGTATTTTCTTTGCACTCGCACTCAATATTTTCCGTTCAACCCGGTCTATACATAATTTCTCCACCATACATGTATAATCCAATTTTATTTAATTGATTATCCTCTCTAGAACTAGCAGAGGTAATTTTGGTGCAATTGTTCTTATCCGGTTTATTTTTCTTTTGACACTATTTTACTTTTTAGAATGACCTATCTTCAACGCTAATTATATTTTTCACGTGTGTAAGGAGTAAATCCTTAATAGCTTTACTTGTTCTCGTTAAGTTCTTTCTTAATTAAGACACTTTAATAACGCACTATATTAATTTGTACGATTATCAAATATCTACCTAACCTAACACAGTCATTCTCGATGACTTGCATGACTCTTGTCGCCTCATAACATCGTTCAGGAAAAAATGTTTAAGATATTTATTTATGCGCAGGTTAAACACCACCACCATCATCTCAAGATACCGGTCCCTGTCCCAGTGCCCATCAAACCACCGCCGAGCTACCACAGTGATTACTACTCCGGTCCCACGCTAGACCATCCACCAGGACCATACGATGCGCCCGAGGTACGTGTTTCAAAAATGAATCACCTCTGAATATAATGCAGCTTTTTGTGACTTCACGGGGTGTTTTGTAGGTGTTAAGTGGCAATGACTATTACAACCGCAACGGCCTGGACATGACTAACGTTGTGTCTGACCATGCGGATGAATTGGCTAGCTGGGGCTTGGGTGAGTTAGGCGAAGGTACTCCGGGATACGACGCTCCTAAGTACTCGTACAGTTCATCGCCCACGCAGTACGAGCCCGTGATCAAGACGTACGGACCAAGTGGTGGTCCTCCGTCGTCATACGTCTCCAGTGGAGGTCCTCCGTCATCATACGGCTCGAGTGGAGGTCCTCCGTCATCATACGGATCGAGTGGAGGTCCTCTGTCATCGTACGGTCAAAATGGTCCTCCGTCGTCGCCGTACGCCGAAAAGTACGTCAAGAGAGTGGACGAAAGTCAGGTAAGCAAATAAATAAATGTCGCTATATTCGATTGAAACTGAAAGTTTAATACTTAAAAAAAAAAAAAATAACAATATTTAACATTATTTTTGGAAGCGGGTGATAAAAAATTATTGTTGATTTGAAATAACATGTAGATTTTGTTAAACAATTATCATTATGATTACAAACGATGGTATTCGCTAAACAACGATCAGAACAATAGTTTTCGGTAGCAATAATAATTGTACATTTTACCGAGCATACGAAATTAAATATGATTGGTCATCTTCCAAATACGTTCAAAAATACCAAATCGATCAAAATTCAATACGATATTAGAATTGCGTAACAGTTATTGTTTCTAGGAACACTTTATCGAAATATAGAAAAAAAAAATTATAATCATGCGGTTTACGTATTTTCTTGATTTACCTTTCACGCGAGAATTTCACGTGTTCCGAGTGCGCAGTCCTTTGCAATAGAAATATCGGAAAACGTTTTGTCAACTGGAATCGCGCATTCAGGTCGCATACGTACGCGCGCCCACGATATTATTATTCTGTTATTACGGTTGCATCGCATCGTTGTTTTCAACGAACAACAATGCGTACCACGCACGTCTACGTATTTATCATCATTTTTTCGCGATTCGCCGTCGCAAATATGCGCGTCCGTACGTCATACGTCCTATATTCTCACGGACTAATCAGATAACTATGTACGTTGTCAGCGTGAAGTAAAAAAATCGGAGAATTCCGTGAAAGTCCGGCAATGCGTCCTGTGTAGAGGACGGAGGGAGGTCTTGTTTTATCGTCGATACGTTATCGTTCGTTCGCGTTTGACGATAATATTATCACTGGAGTCGGTCCATTTGAACGCGTCGAAAACTCATGCACGTGTATAAATCGTTTCAGCAGGCCATCAGCAGAGTGCCGACGCAACACGCGACTCATGACCCAGTGTACACGCCGATCGTGCATAAATTAGACGAGATATTCCAAGAGTTGGCCGTGCCCGAGGAACCGTGCAAGGAGAAGTTGGTGTGCAAGATGTACGGAAATCCAGCGAAATTCAGTCCTCACAGCAACCTGGTGTCCGCGCAACTCAGCAGGTTCGTAGCGGTTATCCTTTAGTGGTGGTGGTCCTTTTATCAGGGGGGAGGAAGGGTAGTTTTTTATTTATTTATTACGTGGCACGTATATATCAGTAGGCATAATTATTAGTATCGGCAGTCGATCGTTACGTTGCGCGTGTAAAATGACATCTCGTAACGCGAGTTCTGGCGTTTTCGCGACCCCGGAAGACGGAGATCGGAAGCAGTGGATGAGGGGCGACGGTCCCAAACCCGTTCACCTACTTCCGGAAAGTGTGTTTTTTTTTGCATTTTTTTCTTGTGACGAAAAAAAAATAAAAGAGTGAGAGAGAAAACCGTCCCACTTAATAACCTGTTCCCCGGCACATCTCCGCGTGACCTACTGACGGACGTGTGTGTGTGTGTATCGTGGCCGTCGGGATTAAGCTCGGTCGCGATTTATTAAGGCCACGGCCTTGAACTTGTTGCGCGCGTGCCGAACGTGTAAAACTCATCGGAAACGGACGTTTTGTCACAGCAGTGGATGGCGAGGGCGGACGAGAATCGATCGGACCGAAAAACGAAAAGCGTTTATCGAAATAAGTTTACCTAACCCGTGGCGTGATGACAAAGTCTTTGACCCTAGAGAGCAGTTACACAAAACTACCCCCACCCCCCACCTACCCTTAGAAGAAAAACGCGCTCTCCTCGAACTGTACAATATTGATGGACAGTGTTTTCGTATAATTGTATAAGCTATTTGGTCTCATTACTTGTCATAGATATACTATAAACAAAATAGGAAATTTTTGATACCTATTTCGTGACCCAACGGTACACATCCCTACCGTACATTTCTTGGTTTGGGGCAGTTGCATCGGGCAAATACCCACAGTCATCACACCCATCACGCCACTGTTCACAATGAATGCAGTACGATTAACATTTCGTCGCGAGGGCGTAAACTGACGTTTTAGCGCATTTCTCTGCTCACGTAGTACATGTATGTGTATGGACTACAGGAGTGTGTAATTATAATAATAAAAATAATAATTCTTACGCGTGCCTCGTTCTACGCGTTCAGCTCGAAACCATAATAGCTGGACGTGATTTATCAGACCGAAACCACATTTGACCAGAGAGCACCGCGCGAATGTTTCGGAATCACGTACGTGCGTATTTTAATTTTGTGAAATTGAACTCGTAAACGGTCGTAGGTACTTGGAAAAGCGTGTGCTCTAAATTAAATTAAGTAACATGAGTTATGATGAAGTACACAGAATATTCATTTCTTTTGCGGCGTGACGCATCAGAATCATTCCATTTGGTTGGCATAACAACTGGTGATTTCTATTTCGGTCTGTTTTTCAGAACAGTCAACTCTGAGGGCTAATGTATGGAACTAGAGCTTTTGAGCGATTACACATCAGTACCTACATCTCCTTTTTCCATTGAAATATGTTTATTAATTAATTTCTGCTCGTGATTACGTCGTTTTCCAACGAAAAGAAAATACTAATTATTGTAATATATAATTTCATTTTATTTAACTCTATAGGTTGTGCAGATGTTCTAATGGTTTTAAAAAATAAAATGTCACGGCACATTTTATAAAATAATTAATCGTTTTACTTATAAAATTTACAAAATTAATAAATAATTGTATTGTACAGTCACACACCAATTGAATTATTTGAAAAAAAATCTGATGAACTAATCCGGGCTTTAGAAACATTTACTGCCGAATATCTGTAACCAGAATAAGTTCTTCGCTACAGTTATTTACGTAATAAACTTCCATTAAATAATAAAAACATACAATTAAAATTATAAATCTTTATTAAAATGTACACGTAACCCTGAGAAAAAAATAAAAATCTTATGCTCAAAAATTATATACACTTCTGTTTTCAGTGTTTTGCACTAGGCAGCCAATAAAAAAAAATATTTGGTAAATTTCTAAACAAACGGTATAACTAGTTTTTTCAGTCGTGAATATTATTGTTGTAACGCCGTACAGTGACTTATCAGAATGATTCGAGATTATATGCATATATTATATAATTACGGAATTTCGATTTAAGCATCTCAGCCACTAGTCAATCTTAAGTTTGATAGTTTTCTGCTCTTTCGACTACTACTAACATTACCTGTGTAACAATTATAACCCTAGACTTGTCAGAAAAATCTAAATGAATAAAACAATTTTTTTTTTAAAGCAATATTTAAATAATACATTTTAAATAACTAGAAGGATATTTTTGAATAAACTTACATAAGTACCTGAAACTATAAAAAAAAAAAAAATCATGACACAACTATAAACATGTTTTTTATCAATTATTTATTAACAGCTATATAACTTGATCAATTTTTTTAAGCGATTGCATTTATTTATCTTGGGATACATAGGTAATGTTAAATCAAAGTTTGATTTAGGACTAAAGTGCACAACCTGGTGGTTGTTAAACCTATCGTATACGATATTATAAAGTAAGACTTGTGTAGTCACGACTGGTTCAAGTAGCGCACGTAAGTCCGTATCTCTAGGAGATGGAGTTTCGACGAGACCTTTGCGTTTTGTGTTTAAATAAGTTAATAAGTTATTATAGACAAACACGGAAAAAACCCCACGAAAGAAACGGTATTAAGATAAACATTTTCGATCCATTGATCTAAATATTTGGTTTGAAAAACGCACAGAAAATATCATTACACGCGTGTTCCCAATAAAATCACTATTGTTACTGTTCTTCGGTAGACTAATTGATGCGTTTGATCCGCCTCTCAAACGCAGTTCGTCTTCTGTCGCGACCTTGACCGCACCGAGTTATTACACGGCATGTACGCGCGAAGAAACTGGATTGCGTACGTTTTCCGTCGATGGGAAAACAATTTTAGGGAACATACACGGTTAACGCACTATGTTTGGGTCCGTTTGACGCGCACGTGATTATTACAAGTGTTTTAACGAGTAGGCGATTAAAAACCCCAACGATTTCGATGCTCTAATCCGACGATACTTTCACCCGGCCGCGCACGGCGTTTGTTCGAAAATCGTATTCATCATTGTTCCGCGTCGAATCCGAACGATTGTTTTTCGTCCGACGCGCACGCACTCCTCCTCGAGTGTCGCGTTAATCGGTTGAACGTTCAAAACAAACGGTCGCCGCGTGGGAACAACACAATTGCCTCGGCCGCGTCATATTATTAGTGCTGTTGTCTGGAGACAATCGCGCGGCGCACGCGTCTACCCGCGCGGACGACAACGATGTTTACACTGTCACGAGAATATCAAAAGCGACAACCGTACGAAAACGTAATGACATTGTGAACGTACTATAACGTCGTCCTGGTAGCCGCGGTACACCGCCTCCTCTTTGTGCGCACAATAATAATTACTACGACAACAATACGTGCACGGTATACATTGTTCGAGTGCACCGCGAGTATCGTTAACGAGCACCACATACGTCGTTTTTCAATTGTTTTATCCGATTTGGATACCGCGTTGGAAACTGCAGTTGCACTCGTCACATCACGCGAGACGTGTACAAGAAATTATTATTATTCCATAGGTCACTTTCTTTGACACGATCAACGCACGTTATCGCCGCTGCTCGTACACATATCATTATGATTATATTGTTGCGATGACGACAACGAAATATAAATTGAAAAAAAAAAAAAAAACAATGTCCTTGGGTACGCGTACTTTCATTTCATCTCTTCGAATTCCGCCCACAGACAGGTATTTTCGAGAACATCACACCACACACCACCGCGCCGGAGCAATAGCAACTAATACGATTTCATTATATTTCACGATTCATAATGGATTGCACTTCCACTCCGAGTCATTGTAACAAATGTGTTATTATTATTATTTTACGTACGTGCTTCCATTGTTAGCACACTGACACCAATTCGTGTGTATTGACGATTCGTTGACACACGCGCACACGTATAGCAGTACCTGCTCTGAAAATATCAGCACAACCGGATTGTCATCGCGCAAAACCGAACGAATATTATTATTTGTCCTTTTCGCGCGTGCGCAGGAAACGGACGAACATCTTCGATCGCACTGATAACAATTTCTCCGACCGTTTCAGAAGTGGCAAACCAACTACATGTGTATAGACCTCGGTACCATCGGACATTAGTGACCGCGAACAAACCAGTTCACGCCCGTTTTTTTCGTAGTCCGAAACGTAAACCTCAATTTCCGAGTAAATATTATGATCTAATCGAATGCCTATGCGCTTTTATATTCCCCGAGAAGTAAACGTTGTAGTCGATTAAATTGCCCGGGCACTTTACCTGTTTGTTTAATACGTGCTCAAGTGTCTCGTTCGTAGTAAAACATGAACTTTTAATTCGTGCCGGCACTCTCTCTCTAGTCGTGCGCGAATCGGCTGTTAGTGTTTAACCACATACGATTAAAATACATTAATTTCCTTGAGTTCACAATCAAAGTGTATTCGTAACATTATAAAATAATATATATTTTGTACAGGACAGCAATATTTCTAAATTGAATTATGAATTGTTTTATAAAACAATTTTCATGTCTCACTTTTTTTCATTCTAAACGGGCATTTATTTGAATAAAATCATATTAATCTTAACAAACTCTTACTCGATTTGAACATAAATTAGTGATAATTGAAATGGTTTATTAAAAAATGGGAATGCAAATCATTTATTATCTATTCGCACTCGTCAGGTAGTTAAATGATATTTTTGTTTCGAGATTGTTATTTTTTTTTTATTCTTCTCAAGTCTTAAGAGTTTATCACTTAGTATTATAATAAATAAAACAATACATGACGGATATCTAGAGCATAATAAACGATGTGAAATAATATCTTTGAGCCAACATTAATCGTGCCGAAGAATCGAACACGATGTGTGGTTGCAGTAATATCCTTACCGAACGTTAGGGACAGATCTGTTTAACGGAAAGGAGTGATGAATAGAACTTTTTATGAGAGACGTGTAAAGTATAATAAAGACTTGACCGTAATTCGAGTAATTTAAAACCCCTAGGGCGGTCACCACTTCACCCCCCCCCCATAAATCCATCCTCGTCGATCATAATTATCGATCAAAAGAATCTAACAAGCTCCGTAGTGTATTTTTATGAAAAGTTAAACAGCCAATACTTTTAAATTACGCGTCGTCGCACGTTAAAATAAATCGCGATTGCGGTTTGGAGCCGTATGTCTATGATTATGACAACGCGGCAATCGCAAAAGTTCCGAGTTCGCGTGACCTACATACCTGTATAGCCGTACGTCGAGTACGAACAGCTGCAGTTGCACTCGGACGTTTGGGCTACAACATAATCTGTGAGCACTGCGGGAAACGGCTGCTCGCCCATTCGCGTACACCGTCGAAACGACACACATATAATTCGACGTAGTTCCAATCCGGTCGCGCGACAATCGTCTCGTGCATGACACACCCGGATCGCGGGTACAAGTTGCCGGCGCTTTCTCACGGGTTATTCTCGCGAACGCGCGTGTAATTCGTCCGCAACACAACGTTTGTAGTCATCATTATTACTGTTACGTCCTACCCCGCAACTACGGCTTAATGTCCAGTCATCGGACACGCATTTTGTGATGTACCACGTAAGTGGATCGGGTGCGGACCGTGTTAAAAGATATTCGCATAAAACATCCCCCGCCGGCGGCACCGTACAATAGGTTCGTTTGCGGGTCAAAAAGTCGGTACGGATCAAAAAAAAAAACGGCTAATGACACCGCGGCCGACGTACGTTTTCGCGCGGCTAAAAGTTGATTTTCCCGAGTGCGCGTCAATCGGATGTGCGCGAGAATAATCGCGCGCGCGCGTAGTAGTAATCCGCGTCCTTTCTTTCCGTATTATTCCGCACCTGCAGCCCGTACCTGTACCACTGCTGCGCCGACCGCGTGTCTATGCGTACACTAACGCGACCGCGTAATGAATCGCCTCTTAACGCGCGACAAACGCGCCCGACGATGATGGATTGGCAACCGTGTCCGTCCGCGAGATTAACCGTTTCCGCGGTAATGTTACCGCTCACCTCGTAGCCGACTTAATGAGCCCATTGTTCGAAGGGCGTGATCGCGGACCGCATTTCGCGCCCGTGTTCGACGACTCCGGGGTCCCGCTCGCTGTTGATCTCCCAGCGGACGCAACGCGTGGACCCGTCGATCATCGTTTTTCGGTCGCACTCCGATAACCGCATTATTAAATAACCGTGTTGTTGATGATTTATGATATTTGTTCACAGCGAGACGGCCGCGAGTTCTGCCGGCCGGACGACGGTCAGCGCGGACGCCGCGAGGCTGTGGCGGTACGTTCAAGCGGCCAAGGAAGGTCAGAACGGCGAGGACTGCCGCGTCCTGTATCCCACGTGCAACATGCTCGGGCTGTGATGACTGACCGGAGACCGGCACTGCGATCGAATAATCAAAAAATACACACCCACCCCCGGACGACGGTTTTCCCGCGAAAACTATCGACAGGCTCCGTCGACGAACAATTATTATTATTATTAAATACGTATATGTGTAGTTTTAGCAATAGTCCATAGTATCGTATCGGCCCTCGTCGGACGGCTTTGATTATTCAAAAAAAAAAAAAAAAAAATACCTCTCATTTTTTTCTCTCGTCGAAATCACGTTCAACAGCGCAACGCGTATACAATAAAACGTTAATGTACACATCTAGTCACATTATAATTCGTAGATATATTAGGGCAGCGGTCATAGGCATACCAACCAGTCGATAATCGTAATATTATTGTTCTAATATACACGCAGAGTGTTCAATAAACGCGCGTACTGAAAGTTCGCGTCGGCGTAGGACTGGGGTTTTTAGGTTCGTTTATACGGAAACCGAAAAAACGTGCTCACTGTTAAAAGTTCATTTACACGACTAAAAGTTTTTAAAATATTACGCATACAATTTTTAAAACTCTATTATTTATTAGTTGAATTACAATCAAAGTCCTTCAAAATAATCCTGAACAACTGCACGTAATATAACATTCCACTGTTTTTTTTTTTTTTAATTTGTATATATTTATTTATTTTTTCTATTTGAACTATGATTTTTTCATTATACATAAGATTCGTTGAACAATGACTTTTAGTAGTATAACCAATATTGTTTATTACTTACCGAAGCATACATTTGTTTTTATTTTCAGTACTAACATTGTAATAATTGAAACCTAGAATTCGATACGAATAATCAAAATAAATGTATATATATATGAATGCATAAAAATCGCAGCCCTAGTAAATGTATTCGTATTTATTGAAAGCTCTGCTTGAATAAGTTATAATAATAATATTATGTTGTTAACTGCTTTAGGTTTGATAATAATAATAATAATAATAGTACCAAAAATATTACCGTAATTGCTTATTTTTTTTTTTACGACACAAAACATGTTAAAACGCCTTAATTTCGCATGGTTTTTATATGATTTGTATTTCATTTCTTTTTTTTTGGCTAATAATAAGTAAATATTATTGATTTATACACTAATTAATTCTTTATATACGTACAGGGACTTTGTGAAATATTCTTGGTAAATCTCTGCACGCTGCTCTTTTATGCGCAATGACTCCACTGAAGAGTCGATTATTATAGTATAAACATAACTCGATTTCATACATGCCTTACACATAATATCTATGTTTTCTCTCATTTATTTATTTATTTATTTATTTTTTGTACTGTGAACACTAATAATAGTAATTATATTTTATTATTATTATATTATATGGTGTATCACGCGCTACGAATTTATAGTAAAACACATTGTTTATTATATTTATTTATTTATTTGATGTGCCCATACATTTTTTTATATTGTATAAGTTATTATTATTTTTTTTTTTTAATAAAGCAGTGTGATAGTTTAAATTACATTTTGTATACCTATTATTAATATGTACATATTATAAACGAATTGGTGTACTATAGTTATAGTAATTAGAGACTATCATTATGGCTAAATTAATTTAAAACAATTCTATGTATATTTATTTCTTTAGGTGGTTAAACCAATTATACATTTATAAAAATATACCCGTGAGTTCGATTTTATAACTAATATTTTATGTCATTCCGAAACAAATCACGATTGTATTCGTAAATCATAAAATAACATTTAGATATAAGAGTTTCGTTAATATTGTGCATATGCATTATTAAAATGATTTAAATAGTAAATAGTGCTTAATTGAATGAATGAATTTCAAATATTTAAAAAATACCGTATTTAATAATTTCGTACAAACAGTAATTTTGACTATATTAGAAGTAGGTATCGTGATGAACATAAAAAAACAATATTGAAGCACTCATACGAGTGACAGATAATTTTAGTTACTAATAACTGATTAATGACTGATAATTTTTGGTGAACAGCGTTGTAGCGAGTATTTAAAATCATTTTTTCTGCCGAATCAAACATCTCTTATTTTTATATTTTACATTCATCCCTTTACTGTATATATCCATTCATAAATTATAATCAATTCAACCGCGAGAAGCAGATTAGATCCCTATAGTTCTTATACATTGTAATAATACAAGAACATGAACGTGCTATATTTTTATTAATATATATTTTTTTTTTCATAAAGCGCTAACCAAATTACCATATGACATTTAATAGTTAGTGCATATTGCACTGCAGTTTGTACATGCGCTTATTTGGAAACGTTCAATGTAAAACGTTTACTGATCCAGTAACCGCACACATCTCATCTATTTACTCGTGTATATGTACGTGATTATTGCATTAACTGCATAGTGCTACGTCAAAAACTCGTTCAAACTAAACGAACATAATTAGGATAACTAATATAGTTACTAACATAACTAATATAATTACTTCGCTGTCGATGTGCATGACGTGTTAGTGAAGTTGCAGAATAACACTAAAACCTACACAAGTTACACTAACTAATGAGACAATTTTTGAATATACAGTAGTGTCTCGATAATCGGAACGAGATTGGGGAAAAGGGTCGTTCGGATTATCTATGACTTGATAAAAACAACAGTTTTATCATAATTTAAATAATGAAATTTATTTTTATCTGTATTAATCATGTAAAAACTTCTAATTTAAAAAGACAATGTATACAAAAAAGTATTATAATTATATGTGTGTGTATGTATAGCCAGTTAGTATAATATTTATTACATAGTATGAATCTTATTATTTAAAATATATATTTACTATTATTACTATATACATACATATGTATTAATATAGCGATAGGATATTTCTCAAACTCGTTCGGATTAGCCTGTGTTCAGATTATCGAGACCCTACTGTATCATTTTATTTTTTTCGTTTTATTTATTAATTTTTAAGCGTGCCATTACATTAATTTAGTACACGTTCCGGTTTTATTTAAAAAAATAATTACCAATTGTTTCTTATTCATTTTCATCTTTGTCTGAATTATACATTAAAATATTGAAACTGTCGAAATGTTTTTGCCCGAGTAAAGTCAAAAGATCTAAATTTGGTGTACACTGTTTAGGATATTTCGTTAACTCGAGCATAAAAAAACTAAGTTTTTTAACGTGATGACTGCAACATAAGATATAGACTCGGTGTACTTAGAAATAAGAGACCAATGGCTGATAGCAATTAAACCAAGTTCTTATTGACATATATATATATATATATATATATAAAAAAAAATAAGCCATTGAAATGTTTGAAATGTTATGCTTATTTTCCGGCAGAGATCGTGTAACATATGCCACGTTACAGAATATGTTTAGGCCTTTATGTTGAATTCAAAAAACCTGTTTTGATACTTTCTCTTTGTAATATTTTCCTTGATACACGATCTAGAGTACACGTAGTTCTACGATGAACATTAATGATATGTACGTAAACGGAACTTTACAAGAGAGTTAAATCATAAGAAAATGTAATTATTATCACTAAAAAATATTATTGTTATTGTAGTTGATTTTGTTATAACTACTATTGCATTCCCGTTATATACTTCTGCGAAATCAAGTAATTCTTTTTCTTTTACAATGTCTAATAAACATGAAAATAAGATGTGTCAACGTCATGGACTATCCTTTAAGTATAATTACATCCAATTGAAGGCCACTTTTTCTAGTTAAATAAGATTTTTTTTATAATGGTTTTTTAACTTCTATAGCTGTGAATCTTACTGCTAAATTTAATAACACAGCGCGATCACACTATTAACATTATCAATGATTACTATAAATACAACAATTTACTACTTCTAGTTGCTATTTGCATTGTAATCTAGTTATTATTATATTCTCTTGCAATGTAAACATCTAATGACCACTTGGTATTTACATGTATATACTTTGATTTACTAAAACTTATCACCGTTTGCGTGCCAATATGTAGTTGAAATTCAATATTGTTGAATTCATGTATAAAAGAAAAACATAGTATGATTTTGAAAATATTACGTTAACTGTACAGACGAAAAATAATATATATATATATATATATAATAGCAATTATATATTATAGCAATTATATTATTATAGCTTCATGTTGAAATTCAGATATATATTCAAAATTATTAAATTCCAAAACTCTAGTTTATTGTTTATTAAATATGAAGTAATATATAGGCAATTTTATGATAGTAGTAAATTTAAAATTTATGTAATTTGTATTATTATGACGCAATAACAACATAACATTATTAAGTATACCGTTTATAAACTGTTTTCTATCCATTTTTTTCTTGAATAATTTTAATATCAAAAAAATTATAGAGATAAATTCATAAAGATTAAAGATATTATTACAAATTAGGATTTTTTTTTCGATGACAGTTTTTTTGCAAGGTTAAATTATTTTGGTTGAGATAATTCAAAAAACATTTAGCCAACTATGCGGTAAATAGATTGACTATTAAGAATTAGAATTGTAAACTATAATATTTTCGTTGCCATGATGTTTTCTAAATAAACTTAAAAGATGGTTTAAAATTGAAACATATGCCCAGTTATTAAAAAATAATGATAAATTTATCTATTAATAAAAATTATAGTTACATAAATTGTTTATGTAAAATATAACTAAAAAATAAAAATAAAATTGAAAATAAACAGTTATATGTATTATTTAATAGACTTCATTTGAGTTACACATCATTTATTTATTCGTAAACATAAAAATATTTTATAGATTATTCAATCTCTAAAATAAAATTAAAAAAAAAAAAAAAGATTATTCAATTTATTTGGGCAATGCCCGTTTCCACCAAAAGTGTATCTTTCCCTTTTCAACCATTATCCGTTTCCACCAAATGAGATTGACTACCTATACTTTTCATGAGTTTTTCGGGTTGATGTAAAATATTTATAAATATACACACAATATAATCAATGTATATAGGTAGAATTTTATTGTATTTAATTGTATGTTAAACCGTTATCGTACTTATGTTTGTACTTTTACGAGAATGTCGATTAAACATGATAATATCTAAATAATCAAATACTTTATGAACAAGTGAAATGATAGCACAGTTTAAATAGTGCATACAACTGCGTGTGTGTTAAAATGAAACGTTCATCTTTTCACTTGTTCATAAAGTATTTGATTATTTAGATATAATCATGGTTAATTAATCAA